GGAATAAATGGTGGGAGAAGTTTAAAGTTAGTTTATGGTTAAATCTGACACAGCTTTATGAGGACAAGAAGAAAAAAAATACCCAAAATCTCTAGCTCAGGAGCCCGAGCACCCCCCGGGGACTGCCAAAGCCATTCTTCCTCAGCTGAGTTCCACTGAACCCCAGCCCCACGGGGAGATTCCTCCTTTGTCACCTCTGTGAAAATTGCATGTGAACTGCTTGATTTTGCACTTAAACCAAAGGAGAAACGGGCTTTAGAACTTGCTGTGACAGCTGGTTTGGGGAGTGCCAAGGTCTGGGCTTTACTTGCCACCCAAGGTGGCTTTTGGCCGGGCCAGTCACAGGCTGTGGCAGCCACTGCTGGGGCTGGTTGTCCTGGGGGCTGTTGGCCAAGTCCCAAGTCTCACTTCTTACCTGCTGCTCTTGCTGGCACAGCACATGCCATGATCTGTAACCTCAGCCTGTGCCAGTGCACCCCCCAGCTCTTTACCTCTGGGTCCTTCCACCTTGTTGACAAGGATTCCTCTGTTGTCCCTCCTGTTACTCTTCATTTGTTCTGTGATTTTGGCTGGAAACAGCTCGAGTTTTATGCAAAATGGAATAAAATTCAAGGAAACCAAATGGAGAAGGGCCTTGGAGTGTGTGCCTGGGCTGGCGGAGCTCGTCTGCTGCTGTTGGACCTACTGGGCATTGGTGTGGTCGGGGTTTGGGGTGTTCCAGCTCCATCTGGGTCTGTACCACCACCCTGCACTGGGGCAAGGGCAGCTCTGGCTCCAGGCCTGGAGCCTGTGCTCCCTTCCTGCACCACCCCCTGGTGCAGGACCAGAGCCAGGGCCACAGCAGAGCCACCCGGGGAGGCTCAGGGCTCTGGGCTGCTGCAGGTCTCTGTGCTGCTCCCTGCCCAGGCACAGCTCAAGGCTGAGCAGCTCCTCCTGGGGCCTGGCTTACCTGGCAGCCCTCACCCCGGCAGCTCTCTGGTTGTGGGGCAGAGAGGAACCTCATGAAGTTCAACAGGAGCAAGGGAAGGGTCCTGCCCCGGGGGGCAATGACCCCCTGCACCAGGGCAGCTGGGGGTTGAGCTGCTGGAGAGCAGCTCTGCAGAGGATTTGGGAGGGCTGGAGGGCAGTGGGTTTGTGGTAAGCCAGCAGTGTGCCCTCGGGGCCAAGAAGGGCAGTGGTACCTTGAGGTGCACCAAGAACAGTGTGGCCAGCAGGTCAAGGGGGCTTCTCCTCCCCCTCTGCTCTGCCCTAGTGAGGCCACATTTGGAGTACTGGCTCCAGTTCAAGAGAGACAAGGAACTGCTGGAGTGAGTCCTGTGGAGGCCAGAAAGCTGCTGAGGGGCTGGAGCATCTCTGTGCTCAGGAAAGAATGAGAGAGCTCTGGCTGGAGCTGGGGGTCTGAGCAAGAGCTACGGGATGGGGGTGACAGGATGGGGCCAAACTCTTGTCAGTGGTACCTCGTGACAAGATGAGGGGTGATGGGTACAAACTGGGACACAGGAGGTTCCCTCTGAACAGGAGAAACTTCTTTCCTAGGAGGGTGGCAGAGCCTGGAACAGGCTGCCCAGAGAGGTGGTGGAGACTCTGGGAGAGATTCCAAACCTGCCTGGCTGTGATCCTGGGCACCCTGCTGTGGGTGAGCTGCTGGAGCAGGGGCAGCTTGGATGACAGGATCTCCAGAGGTCACTTCCACCCCCACCACGCTGGGGTCCTGTGACACACTGCTGGTGCTGGGCCAGCACTGCAGCTCTGAGGGCAGGACACATGCCCAGCATGGTGCTGGGCAGCCCCACAGGGGTGTGAAGGTGCATGACCAGGCCACACTTTGGAGCCATCACCTCCCCTTCACAGCTGGGCTCAGACAAAACCAGCACAAGACCAGGGCTCAGGCTGCACGTACATTTTAATCTCTGGCTGAGGATAATCAACCTGCCCCCAGCCAGCACAAGCACTCAGGACTCACAGGCTCAGTCCCATGGACCTGAACCCTCCCATGGTGCCCATGCAGCTGGGTATGGGGCTGGCACTCAGCCAGAGGCTTCTTCCTGGGGTGGCTGAAAGGGTGGAGCTGAGGCAGCCTCCGTGCTGCCCCTTCAGCTGCTAGGCTGAGGAGGAAGAGGCACAAGACCTTCCTGGTGAGTCCATGCTCCTCCCTGTCCCCTGGCTGCAGAGCTGATCCCACTGTTGATGAGCTGGAGGGGGACACGTGTCCCAGCTGCTGGTGCTGGTCCCAGGGTGCTGTGCTCAGCAGCTGGGGCTGTGCCCCCGGAGCCTCCTGCAATCCCACTGCTCAGCCCACCCTGCAGGACCCTTCCCCAGGCTGGGGCAGATGCTGAGGGGATGCAATGGCACAAGCCCTTGGGGCTTTGGGGTTTAGGGACATGCTGGTGGTGACACCAAGCTCTGGTTCCCCATTGTGCTGGGATCTGCCACCACTGCTGAGCGATTCTTGTGGCAGCCTGTGGAGATCAGTTGGTCAAGGCTGCAGATGAGGGGAGGAGCTGCAGCCCTCCTCCTGCCTGGGGCAGCACGTGGGCACTGCCCAGGGTGGGGACCCAGGCCAAGGGAACAGTAGCTGGGCAAAGCAAGAGCCAAGCCAGAGGCCCTTGGGCACATTACACCAGGGCAGGTGGCCCTTGTGCAGGAACCTCAGGCTGAAACACAAGCCAGGGTGGCAGCAGCACATGAAGGAGGGCTGGAGGGAGCTGGGGCATGCAGAGCCAGGCTCCCCTCTTTAACCTGGAAGGCACTGAGGCACTGGGTCACAAATCCCAGGGGTGAAGGTGCTCGTGCAAGTAACAGCCTTTCTCCTCCCCTTCCCCGGGCTTTGGGTTTCTGTGTCTCCAAAACCAACACAGCATCAAGGAGCACGAAACTGGGGCCAGGGCGAGTAGCTGCTGGGGCACAGTCGCCCTTCAGCGTTGCTGTAGGTACCCCAGGGGAACACCCAGACCCACCCTGGAGGGCAGGGCAGGGCCCCGAGGGGGCAGAGCAAGGGGAGACCCTTTCCTGCAGGAGGAGTCACAGAGGAGCTGGAGCTGGCACGCCAGAGCTCTGAGCCGTGGTCTCCACGCGGTGCCCTCGGCCAGCGTGCCCCAGGAGAACACCCCGGGGGCACACCAGCTCCTGGGGCGTGGGGCAGGGCAGGGCCCCCTCACACCAAGTAAGGGGTGTCCAGCACGGCCACCCCAGCGGCCACCCCGCCGTCGGCGTGCTCGATGGCCTTGGTCCTCAGGAGGTGCCCAGCAGCCCTGTTCATCACCAGCTCCTCGCCCTGCCTGCGGAGAGACGGGCAGCTGAGGGGAGTGCCCAGGGCCCTGCAGCTCCCACGGGCACCTGCAAGCCCCCGGGCTGACACAGAGACCCCCGTGGCAAGAGCTGTGCCCGTTTTGTGCCCACTGGTGCCAGGCCCTGGCTCAGCTGGGCCATGCCACACCAGAGCCCTGTGGTGGTGGCACCAGGAACCACCAGCACCAGCTCGGCAGCTTTTCAACAGCTTAGCAGCAGCTCAGCATCTGAACAGTGCTCGGGAAGCTGCTGGCAGGGCAGGGGCTGGTTGGCCACAGCTGTCCCTGGCACCTCCATCGCCCCAGCCACCCGCCCTGGTGCTGTGCACAGAGGGGAGACAATCCCAGCCTGGGTGCTGGCTGGAGCAGGAACCAGCCTGTAGAGCTGAGCACGTTCCTCACCTGACATAGACACCAAAAATCCCGAGCTCAGAGATGCACTTGGAGGCTTCAACAGGGGTGTGAGCCCTCAGCAAGTAATTCACCACTGGCTGCGGCTTGATCTTCTCCATCAAGATGTAGGAGGTTCTCTCAGGGCTGTCTCTGATCCTCTCCAGAACCTGCCTAAGCTCCTCACCATACAGGTTGTTCCCTGACAACAGAAGAGGCAAGTCAAGCACTTCCCAGCAGCATGGGCCGTTGGCACTGGCAGCCCAAACAGGCCTGGCCTTTGCCCTCCTGCTCCTCACAGCCCAGCCTGGGGCCTCCAGGGGCAACACGACCTGAGGGCTACGACCACTCCCCACAGCCACAATCCACCCGACCCTTCATCCCTCAGCACAGGACTAGGAGCCACCACGGAGCTACTGCCTACCCTGGGCACGGCCCCAACAGCAGGGAGAGGCCAGAGGGGCCCAGCCCAGCTCCTACCTCCACCTTCTCGCTGCGGCTTCAGCACGAAGCGGTCTGGGTCGGCAACAGCCTCAGCAACCATCCTGTCACCCTCTTCCCCCTGGCAGGGAGGGACAGCAGTGCTGCAGGGAGGACTGCAGGCTCCTCCTCAGAGCCCTCTAGGCAGGACTGACAGGGCTGCCCGGGGCCACAGCACAACCCCCTCATCTTCTCAAGCAGAGGAAGCCCCTGCGGGCTGGGCAGCCACCCGGGCCCTGCTCACACTCACCATGTCCAGGGAGTAGAGCCCAGCAAAGGTGGCTCTGATCCGAGCCACGGCCTCGGCCTGGCCAGGCAGCAGCATCTCCAGCGTCCCGGGCCGGCTCAGCTCCTGCTGCACCTTCTTGGTGCCCGCCAGCTGGGTGGCAATGTTGGGGCACTTCACTGCCCTCGACCTCTCCAGCAGCAGCCGTGCCTCCCAGTTCTGAGACAGACAGAGAGCAACCATCCCATCAGTGGGAAAAGCTTTCTTCAGGGCCGGGCTGGGAGCAGCACTCTGCAGACAAGCAGAGGTGCCATCCTGCCCACCCTGGGAACAGCAGGGCCGGGTCGGTCGCTGCCTTTGGCTGCAGCTGCGCCCCAGCCTGTGCAAGGCCTCCCACCC